ATATATATATAATATAATATGTAATTCCGAATACTATAAAATTTCTATTTTAAATTTTAAATTTATTGTTGTTGGATCAATGATGATGGACATTTGGTGAAAGAATGTAAGAAAAATAAAAAGAATAGATGAAGAAAGAAAGAAAGAAAGAAAAAAAAAAAATGAAACTGAGAGAGAGAAAGAGAGAAATTCTCACTTACAACCAATAGAATTCTATTTTCTATTCTCTCACTCTGATTCTCCTCTTCTTTCTTTTTCTTTTATTTCTACTTTTACTTCTGCTTCTACTTTTCTCTTTAACGTGTACAGGAATACTTGTTGAACATCGTGTTTTCCGTTAAATACTCAAGAAGAAGAACCTTATGCGCTTGCTCTGCTCTGATCTGATTTCACTTTACTTTAACTCTGGTCGTTTTGAAATTACGTTTTTCTTGCAAACATGGCTTCTTCTACGATTACGTCAACGATCGAAGATAGACATACTCCTATCAAAGAATTTTATATATCACTGAAAATGCTAAAAACTCCCCCAGAAAAATATATAACTGAAAGAAATGATATTTAATACTATAAACCCCTAGAGAAATTTTTATAAATAATATAAAAATTATCTTTTTTTTTTTTAGGATTGAAAAATGCAGATATAATAAATAATTTAATAATTTTTATATAATATAATATTTTTGATAAAGTCAATAAACATTGAATGCAATATTTTAATATCAAATTTGTGTGTGTAAAAATTTAATTACATATTATTACATATATTACTTACAGATAAATAGACAAAATAGATAATAAATATTGTCTCAATATATAGATAAATAATATTTCTCGTAATGTCAAATAAAATAAACTTTAAATGAAAAATTATTATACGAAATTTATCAAATGTAAAATTTAAATATTTGATTTTTATTTGATTTAAGAAAAAAAGAATTTGATACCAATTAATTATTATACTTTATAAATTATTGAACTAATCGAGAATGAATAATCTTGACAAAGAAAAAAAAATCAAAGCAACTTAATTAATCGAACGGTTACTGCCTAATGAAAATCATTTTATTTATTAACTCGAGTGTATAATTACGATTAATTTTTTATAATTAAACATTAATGAACGTCGAGTTGTTTTTTTTTTCTTTTCGGAAATAGTTTCTTCTCTCTCTCTCTCTTTCTCTCTTTCTGAAGTCTTCTTTTAAAAATCACTAGCCAGCTGTTCGTAGCCCAATATGGTTGACCCTGACCTTTTGCCAAGACATTCAAAAGTTTTCCAGGAAGGACCATAACTCACGTGTCCATTGGTTATTTTAACGATGCTGGAATTTAATCTTTTCTTCTTTCTTTTTCAACAGGATTAGTCGAGCTTTTTGCGGTCCTAAATAAGCATGTAATTTCTTAAAATACGTATCCTTCTTTTTCTTTTTCTTTTTCGTCATTTTTCATCGTTACTATTAAAAAAAGAAATCAATTGTCCTAGAAACATCACTTAAAACTATTCCATGCTGAGAATACATTTCATCGTACCTGGGGTATCACGAAATAACGATTTGATTTTTTTTTTTTTTTTTTTTTTCATAAAAATACTTTTGATAGTTCTACGAAAAAAAAAAAAAAAGAAATAACATACATATATGTATATAAGAAATTATATTGGTTGGCCAAATAATTATTATTATTTGAAATACTATTGTAAATGTTGTTCTGATCCAAATAATTTTCGAAACAAACTTATCAGTGTTTTAAATATACCGTTTGAAATATAATTATCGTACATGCATTTTACGTGAGAGAGAAAGAAAGAAAAACATTTTTTGTTTTGTTTTAAAATAATACAAAAAAACACGTATGACATACGAACGCATAAGGAATAATAGTTTTGATTAGACTAAGAAAGGAATGTTGGTTGTGTAAAATATCAAAGGAAAATTCCCTATCCAGCAATAGAAATGAACTTTGCTCGGGTTTGTAGATTGTGCGAATGTAATCTCGGAGAGACTAGAATGAGCTAGTAGAATGAGAACGAATCTCTGACGAAAGACGAGAGATGAGATCCGACAAGATTAAATCCGCCGTTAGTTTATTTTAATCTCACTTTTATATCTTACAACAGCAACAACTCGCGAATCAAATCCGATCGTTGTTACTAATCCGAAACTGATTTTTACCCTTTTTTTTTTTTTCTTCATTATTCATCTAATTGTTTGTTTAATCTTTGTTGTTATTTTAGAATATCAGAACAGAATTATATATATGTGTGTATGTGTGTGTATCGTGATAAACAAAAATGCATTGATGGTATATATATATATATATCACTTTTAATACACTTTGGAAAACAAACGATCAAACCTTGAGGAGATTAAATTGAATGAGGGAGAAGGGGCGGGGGTGGTTGGTTAGGACATGTTACAGCGTTAACTTACAATTAATGCAAATCCCCTTGTAATGCATAAATCGATAAGAACGCGACTGGAAATTCGTGTGGTTTCGTAGAAGCTTAATACTCCAAATTGTCGAGGTACTATGTATGTTCTCAGAAATGTTAGGATTTGTCATAGATACATGGATACATTATGTATATGTGTGATATCAATCTACTGTTGTATATGTATTTTAAATTTATCTAACATTTTTGTTTTGTTTTATTTGGATTGATAAATTACCGTAATATGAAGAGAAAAAGAAGAAGAAAATGATTCACCGTGTAGACTTTGTAATGACTAGTAATGACTAGTGATAACTTTTGCTGTATCTTTTTTTTGTGTGTGTAACATTTATCAACAAATATTTAAGATATTCAGAGAAATCGTTGTTTTCATTTTCTTTTATTTCTATTCTTATCTTTATATTTTCTATTATTTAATTAATGACAGTCGTTTACTTATTTATCTAATATTCGTCAGATATTTTGTAAAGGAACTTTCACTTTTATTAGAAAAATTCTTTTTATTCTAACAGCACTTTGTCCAGGAATTTTGGATTTTATGTCAAATAAAAGAAAAAAGAAAAGAAAAGAAAAAAAAAGGAAAGAATAGATAAATTGTTGCTTTTGTGTTCTTCAGGTATATAATTTAAATAGAATAAATTTTATCGTTAATAAATGGTCGAAGATCGAAAGTTGTTTTTTTTTTTTTTTTTTTTTTTTTTTTTTTTTTGTAAATGGTTGTAGGAAGGGAGTAAAAAGATTTTCTACATTAATCAAAGATATTTATTTATCTTTCATTCTCAATAGTTTTTCCAGGTAGAAATGTATCGTCATTTTTCTAAAATCTACTAACAAAAAAAATTCCATACTTTTCAAGAAAATTCATGGTTCGTAAACTTGTCATTTTATCTTTTTAAAATAAACAATCTAAACAAAGAATGCAAAGTCACGAAAGGGGACAAAGGTAATAGGAAAAGTATGTATAACAACCTTTTCTCTTTCTTTACGAAAATCTATCGAAAAAAAGGTTTTCTTGAAAGTTCGACTAACGTATATATCTCGTAAATGTGTCGTCCTATTACTATTACTATTATACTACAAGTATACTTATAGATTCGTAACCGAAAACGTGACTAATCTTCAAAGTAGGCAGAGTTGCACGTTACACGCATACACGTACGTAAGATATCGTTCCTTATACAAATACCACTACCATCATAATGTTCGTATTTCCGCAACTATAAATTTTCCTAGTTTAACATTGTTGTTCATACGTTGATCTACAAAATGACCGAATCGAGGTAACCAACGTTGATCTATTAACCCTGACACTTACTTTCAACGGATTTTCCCTCAAAATCTTGGCATTAAACTAAAACTAATTTCGTTCGTAGTTTCGGTTTATCTCTAATATAAAGGGTAAACGACCTCGAAAAAAATAGAAACGTTTAATTAACCGCAATTGACCTCGGTTGGCACAAAACTACACTCGAAAACGTTACTCGCGTATATCATCGCGTATTTACAAATGGGATGCATGCAACTGAAATAATCGCGAATCAATTAATCATTGCGTTCCCTCTAACGATAAGTTTAAATTTGTTTAGCTTCTTTTTCCTTCTTCTTCTTCTTCTTCTTCTTGGACACACGTGTTTGATCAGTTAAAATTCTTTTAACTTAAGAAATATACGTTTCTCGTGTCGTATTACTCGAACATCAAGTATATGTAAAGTATAGTCGTACTCGCATTTTAATATGTCCATTTTTAATCTTACGAGAATCGTTGACTCATCCATAAAGTGACGCAGTCACAACCAGTATCGTTTTACGTTAAACATTTAAAAAGAAAAAAGATATATATATATATATATATATCATCGTGTTATTCTCACGATTATAAAACAACGACGTAATATTCTAAATAAAATAAATATTATTATTAGAAAAATGTAATTAATTACATTGTTAATAAAATATAAATTAATCGATAGTTTTACAAGATACGATAATGTGTGGGTGGAGTAGTGATATACGAGGAACGAAAAAACAAAAAGAAAAAATGGAATCGACAATTTGGTAGTAGTAATAAAACTTGTTCGTACTCGAGCATTGTTTGTATCAGTCAGTAGGGGCAGCCGTGACGTCACTAGGAACGTAAGGAAACTCTCACTCCGATTGGTGGCCGAGTCTCCTAGCGGCTAACGCGTCACGGTCGTTGAATGTAACTGCCTATAGATCGAGCGACGGTGCTCGTTTCCCCTTAGGTGGTGGGGATAGTAGTTGGTGGTGGGGGAAATTTGGTTTTACTACGGACCGGTGGCGACAGGGTATGTGTATATATATATATTAAATATACGTGTGTATCATCATATACATGCATACGGGTGATACACAGTGTATAGTAGTTAAAAAGTGTTCTCGGGGAGAAATAATGTAGTATAGAGAGAGAAGGAAAAGGAAAGAAGTGGAAAAGAGAGAGTGAGTGAGTGAGTAGTGAGGGAGGGGACGAATAAAGGTGGAGTGGGGAGAGAGGGGAAGAGCTGTCTCGACACCGTTCTATTTTCGTCGGCGCGCCACTGCTGGCCCAGATTCAACGCGACCGTCACGAGAGCGCGTTACCTTCTTCTTCTTCTAACGTCATCTTCTCGTCCTATGGAAAAAGAGTTTAACAAGTGAGTGAAAGATACGAATCTCTCTCGTATAAAGAAAAAAAAAAAAAGAAAGAAAGAAAATCTTCGTATAAATCGTTAGAAAATATAATTGATACCAATCAATCGTTATATTATCGCGGTTATTATTTCACCGTTCACGATTGGTGGTTGTGTGGTACTTCTTGTTTTTTTGGATTCCTGGGTTTTTCGCGTCGTCGTCGTCGTCGTCGTCCAATCGGAATCGTTCCTACCCTAGTCCCCGTTCCATTTCGTGCGTTCCTTTTAATTTATTCCTTCCATCCGTTAACTACTTTTGTCAATTCCTTTTTTCTTTTTATCTTATCTTTGATCGCGTTCTAACATTGTCGATAGCCATCGATACCTCGTTCGTTAGTTCATTAGTTGGTGGTTCGTACGTTCGTTTGCTGCTGGTGGTGGTGGTGGTGGTTGTGGTGGTGGTGGTTTTTTTATTATTATTACTTCGGTGAATTGTTCTACAATCTTTACGTTATTATCATTAACGAAACGAAGACCGTAAGTGAAAATTACCACAGCACAATTCTGGAAGATATTCGGAAGAGAACATCTTTAAAGTTTTTAGAATGTGACTTTGGAGTGATGCTGTTGTAAGTGATTATCGAAAGAATTAATTATACGTTAATTCTTCTTCTTCTTTCTTTCTTTTTCTTTTCTTTTGTTTTTTTTTTTTTTTTATTTTTTTTTTTTTTATTTGATAAAGTTGAACAAATATTATGATAAAGTTACGAGAATGAAACACAAAAAAGAATATTATAACATTTTCAAGGAAAAGATAAGGAATACCATTCGCGTATATCCACGTGTGTTAATCTCGTACTTCCGATATGTTTTTTTGTTGTTTTTTTTTTTTTTTTTTAAATGCGTTCGAGTGAGTGCATCACGCGTGTTCCTACTGTGTGTGTGTATGTGTGTGTTAGTTTCTTCCATACAGTTATTATCGTTTTAACATTATCGACAAAAAAAAGTATCTCTGTCTCTTTATGAATCTGTGTAATATATGTTATTTTTCGTCTTAAAAAAAAAGTAACATTAGTTACACGATCATCGCAGAAAGTTAAATAGAAAATACAACAAAAGAGAGAGGAAACTAGACCTTAACCCCTCTCGGTTTCAAACAAGTGCCACTTTGAGGTTAGCTCATTTGCTCATTCTTTCACTTTCGAAATAAACGTTGTTTCTTTTTTTCTTTTCACCTTCCCTCAAAACCCATCGTTTTATTTCTAATATTATTGATTAATCTTTTGTAAGAGAAATTTCAAATAACTATTAGAGTGAAAATTTTCTTTATCTAATCTAAAGTTTCGGTTTTGAAATGCTGTGTTATTTCGATATCAATTAAGAACGTTAAAATCGATTAATCGTTTCTTTAAATAATTCGATAAATTAATGAATAAAATCATTGTGGAAGCGAGAGCGGGGTGGGGTGGGGTGGAGTGGGGGGGGAAATTACGGGTCAACGATTTTCGTTGTATAACAACGCGAGTGTCCTAAGTCAAGTTCATTTTTAGAAAGAACAGAGATAGAAATAAGAACCGTGACATTTAAATCTTCTTTTGAGTATGGGCGCCATTCTGGCAGTAGTCTGAAGTTTGGAACGATTCGTTGCGCGCGCAATTCAATTTCTATATATTTTAATGCAAAATAATATTGTGTTATTATATTGAATAAATAAATAATTAATTACATTAATATAATTCAATTCTATTTATACAAAATTACTATCATTATACAAATCACCGATAGTATTGATAGATATTACAAAATACAGTATTATTATATCGAATATAATTTAAATTAAAAAAAAAATAAAAAAGGAATAAAAATTTTATAGCAACATAATTTGGAAGCAAAATGTACAAAAAAAAAACTGCTCGGCTTTAATAAATTGAACAAACGTTTTACAGTATTAGTTGTAAAAAAAAAACTTGTTACATTAATTTTTATATTAAACTCTAACACAATATATATATATAATTATATTATTTTTATCGAATTTTTGAATAATCGTTACTATCGTTACTTAGAAAAATAAAAACAAAAATAAAGAGTGAGAAGGGGGGGGGAGGGTAAAATAATATAATAAAGATTAAAACGGATGCATTGGCATTCGTGGCGCCAGACTTATGTTAGTCACGTGGCACGTTTACGTTTCGATTCTCTCTCTCTCTCTCTCTCTCTCTCTCTCTATCTCTCTTGCTCTCTCAATATGACTGTATTTCATAAAACGAGTCCATCGCGCAAGATCGTAGGAAGATCGAGAACGAGTATACCTTCCTTCCTTCCTTCTTTGACATTGGTGAGAACGCTTTGGCACGCGGATAATATCATCATCTTATTCTTCACTATCCTCAGTTCATACAACTGTGGCTGAAATATTTTTATACGCGTATGTAAAATTTTGAACAATATTTTTTGTTTTTTATCTCTCTTTTTCTCTCTCTCTCTCTCTCTCTTTCTCTTTCCATAACGTCAAACATTTTTTCGTCATTTTATTTTCGTTGGATCTCTTTTTCTTTCCTCGAGAACAAGAAGAAAATAATAATATTATTATTATTATTATTATTATTATTATTCTCTATTACCTCATTGGAATTTTTGAAACTAATAAAAAAAGATCGTATTATTATTATTATTATTATTATTATTATTATTATTATTATTATTATTAGATGATTAATGTCAATCATTTGAAAGAATTCGTCGTATTTGTTCAATTAAATTCAGAATAATCGGTTATGTTTCTTTATTTACCAGCATTTTAATATATTTTATTCTAATTCGAATCTTATGTGTGTGTAATTTTTTTTAACGAACACTTTATACGGAAATATAGTAAATTGTAATACGTCGTCGTCGTGTGGTGCACTAACATGAGTGACATTTCGATAAAAGAACGTCATCGTATCTGACGTTACTCTCTCTCTCTCTCTCTCTCTCTCTCTCTCTCTCTCTCTCTCTCTCTCTCTCTCTCTCTCTTTCTCTCTCTCTCTCTCTTCTTGAATAACAAATAGTATTTTTCCGGTATATTCTTTTTCTCGAGACTATCGGCTAAGATTATTTATTTCTTTTTTTTCTCTTCTTATACTTTTCTTTTCGTTTTATTTTATTTCATTTTATTTTCTTTTTCTTTTTACATTTCATCGTTGCACTTTATAGATACTTGATTTTTATTATTTATTATGTTTTCTTTCGTTGTTGTTGTTGTTGTTGTCGTCGTCATCCCATTTTTGTTTGCACAATATGGAAAGATTGATAAATTTGTTATTTTTAATAAAACAAGTGAATACAATCAATACCATGAGTGAATATATATATATATATATTCGAAGGATTATGTTTTATTGGTGACACCTACACGGCCAACATAAATGTTTATCCGATTCTGTTTTCATAACATCAAACTGATTAACCAGTGTGGTCATTCTTATCGAATTACAAACTATGACGATGAACGGTCACGAGGATATATTTCTTTCAACGTGAAAAAAAAAAACATTTTTTAGCTGATGTGTCGTCATTAAAAAAAATCATCAATTTTTTCATTTAAATTTATATTATTTATTTATTAAAGATTTTTATTATTTTGTTGTCTCTCTTTCTCTCTCTCTCTCTCTCTCTCTCTCTCAAAAAACTTGTGAAACATTTAATATTTGTCAAAGAAATGATTATTATATACGAGACGTATTTGGAAAATAAAAAAATAAATAAAAATTAGAATATATACAAAATGACTGCGATATAAGATGATGATATTTTTTTGGTTTTGAATAAATTTTGTTGTATTATACAAAGAAGGAAGAAAGATAACTTATTGTTTATTATTGTTGTAGAATTTTAAGCATCCAAACTGGCATACTTGAATCTAATAGCAAAAAATAAACTAGAAACACGCTAGCTGCTCGTTAAGATGCTTATGTAATATTATTCAGACTATTATCGCGTTATGTGAAGAACTTGGAAGGATTTTTATTAACAGGAACTCTCTGAATTTATATAGAACCGACCGACTATGTAAATGTGTTTTTGTTTCTTTTTTTTTTTTTTTTTTTTTTTTTCTTTTTTTTTTTCTTATGAGTAGTAAAATCACAAACGATTATTCAAAAATATCTTTTTCTCTTAACCATCGAATTTTTCCTCGTTAGATTGTTTCAATTCTAAAGATTGGAGAAGAAAAATTGATAAAGAAAAAAAAAAAAGTAAAAGTTAATTATAATAATTTATCTATAATACTTTTGCAAAATATAACTTTATATATCATTTATATCAACACTTTGATCGGTGCATCATGTTTTTATGCGGTTACAGTTGCACGTTTGTTTTGTTTTTAATCTGTATACACAGTCCAATTAATTTGTTATTTTTTGTTGTTGTTGTCATTAGATTGAACAATAGTGACAATTAAAAATTTTCTCCATTAAAAATTACGTATGTGCAATTTCTTTAATAAGAACGTTCGTGTGTATGTAATCTCTTTTATTAAAAGATATTTTGCTATCGATCAAGTCGCATGATTTTCTTCTACGACGTAAGAGAAAATACAAGTCACCTGTCTCAGTCTTTTACGATCTCTGATGATGCTTTTTTTATTTTTAATACGGTAGCGCAACAGTTGTTGCTAAAACGAAACAATAGTTCCATTGCGAATGCTTGACTCTTGTTACTCTTATTATAATAGAATCATTGAACATTGTTTTACATATATATATATATTTATTTATTTATATTTTTAGATCGCTATTGCAGTTAATGCAGTTGCGTACTTTATTTCACTGTTCTCTCCTTGAGATTGTTCTTTTTTTTTTTCTTAATAGAAAATTCAGTATGCAATATTTCGTATGCAACGCACGATCTTTAAAAAAATATATATGAAATTATCATAAAACGCAAATCAATATAATATATATATTTGTTTGAACAAAACGAATGACGAATGAGAAAGAAAAAAAAAACAAAAATGAATATTAAAATTGAATTTTTTTTTT